GATGACCAGCTTCTGTGTCCTCAAGGCCAGCGCCCCACAGCCTCTTGTGATGACACAGCCGTTTATGGGGAAAACTACAGTGATTCTCTCCTGGGTGCTATGCTCACCAGCACCCCCAGAGCCAGAGCAATGAATGTCTTTAATAGACCAGGGCCCGAGGACACCCATCCGATGCTGGCACCCTGTGGGCCAGGCCTGCTTAGAGCTTCACTGTCTCCTCTCAGGAGAGGCACATAGCAATCCTGTGAGGCAGCTCCATTGCTCCCATTTTGCAGATGAGAAAACTGAGGTTTAAAAGAGGCCATCTGGCCAGCAGGTGGAGGAACCAGGACTGGAAGCTGAGCCTTTCTAACTCGGGAACCCGCCACACCATCCACGCAAAAGTTCATCTGCACTTTGTTCCTGGGCTGCCAGCTAAGCAGCAGGCGTGGGAACACCGACAAGTCCCGGGCACTGGCCTGCAAGGGCTCACACACTACACGCAGTGTCCGCATCAGGGGCCTCTCTAACCCACCAGCTACCCTGGTCTCTGACAAGCATTTGGTCTGAGAGGGTCCCTGCCACCGGCACCACTCGTGTGCTCCACCAGGGGGCAGTGTGCTCCCCATGACCCTGAACTCCCAGAGCAGGGATTCCCCTTTTGCCCACCCCTCGCCCCAGGAGAGCCAGTTCACCCAACCGCAGAAATGACTACCTTCTCACCCAGATTCACAGTTCAATGAACTGACTTTAGTTTGGAGCTGATGGGACCCCTTGAAGAGAAGGAATAGCCACCTGCTCTCAGCAGCCTCTCCCTGACGCTGAGGGATGTGGATGAGAATTGGAAAAGCAGCCCCTCCCCACCCAGCCCAAGGCCCTCCTGCGCCTGCTGAGCTCTAAGCACCTTCCCCGCGCTCCCAGGTGCACGCGTGCTGGTGCTGAGCACAGGGTCTGCTTCCTGTTTGCTGGGGGCCCAGGCTCCCTGCTGCACTGCCTGCCACCCACCCCCCTTCACCTGGCCAACCGCACACCTTGTCTGGGTGCTCGGAGGGGTCCAAGCATGAGAGGGAGAGGCCTGAGAAGCAGACAGTTAGCAACCCCTGCCCAGGGAGACAGACAGCAGACTCCACCCATCTGCCCGATTATGACATGAACAGAGGAAATCATGCCCAGGCTACTGTTATAATGGAGGTCAGTGACCACTGGGGAAGGCTCCTGCCATTCAGAGCTTTCAATCCCCCACGGACGGATCTAAGACATCCTCTGAGTGCCAGCGTGCTGTCATCTGGAAGCTCCTGGGACTGTCTATGAGCAAAGTGACGCACAGCACAGGGCTGTAAAGCAAGTGATAGGCTGCCGGGCAGCTCTCTGGCCCCTGAGCAGGTTTACCATGTCTTGGAGAGGCTGTGGGGACTCCCAAATCACAGTTCAACGCACACCCTAAACACCAGCAGAAACCCTTTTTGCAACCGTCTCCCCCCTACATCCCTCCATAGAGAAAAGCAACACAACAGTCAGGCCTATCTATTTTTATTTATTTATATATATATATATATATATAAATAAAATGTATTTACATTGAGTAGCCAGATTATTATGACCACCCTATCAGTACAATGAAGTGAATTAGTTATGCAAATAATCCTATATAATAAAAGGCTAATATGCAAATCAACTGAATGGTGGAATGACCGGTTGCTATGACGCACACTGACCACACGGAGGTAAACGCTCAATGCAGGAGCTGCCCCCTGGTGGTCAATGTGCTCCCACAGGGGAACTGGGCTCCCAGCTGGCGAGCACAGTGGCTGTGGCAGGAGCCTCTCCCATCACCGCAGCAGCGCTAAGGATGTCTGACTGCTGGCTTAGGCCTGCTCCCTGACATCTCCCAAGGGGTCCCAGACTGTAAGAGGGCTCAGGCTGGGCTGAGGAACCCCTCCTTCCCCCAGTGAATGAACTTCGTGCACCAGGCCTCTAGTAATAATAATAAAACCTTGAGAGTATTTGCTTAGGAAGTTTTCAATATTCAGTATTTTGGGAAGTTTCAATGAAGTACTGATGGGGTGGTCATAATAATCTGGCTGGTCATAATAATCTGGCCACTCAGTGTATATTGATCTCAGGGTGGAAGGGAGAGGGAGAGATAGAAACATTAATGAGAGAGAATCATGGATTGGCTGCTTCCCACAGGCCACCCCTGGGGATGGAGCCCACAACCTGGGCATCTGCACTGCCCAGGCAGGCCTGTCTGTTTGGAGGGCTTTAAGTGGTGCCCACTCAAGCCGCTGAGCTAAGCAAGCGACTCTTTGCCATCAGCAGGTCACTGTATTGGCAGCAGCACCAACCCAGTCGCGGAAAATCAGAGAAGAACACAACATAAACCTAAAACTGCCCCCATCCGTTGTACACGTGGTGCGAGAGTGACTGACGGTCCAGCCTCGCCTGGAGGGAGGAGTGCACCTGCTGACAGGTGTGGGACTTGGCTGAGCCCGATTCCTTAACAAGGAAGGGGTGGGGCTGAGAGTCTCTACCTGGTGTGAGAGCTGAGTCTAGGCCTCTCAGTTCCTCAGTCGCAGCACTGATGTGGCCCCTGGAAATAAATGGCTGTTCGGGCGAGCTTCTGTTCAACACACAGTTCCTATCGTATATAATAAAAGCCCATTGACCAAATGGTTGAACAACCAGAACAACTGGTTGACCAGTTGCTCTGACACTCACTGTCCACCAGGGGGCAGAAGCTCAACGCAGGATCTGCCCCCTACTGGTCAGTGTTATCCCACAGTGGGAGCATCACTTGGCTGATGGAGATGAGCAGCGATCTCACAGTGGGCCAATCCCCGCAGGCCATGCCCCACCAGTGCACGAATCCCAAACACCAGGCCTGTAGTATGATTATAAATGAGAATGGACCACTTAGTTATATTATTGTCGGTCCAGATTTCTAAAAATTATTTTGTTCCCATCAGCCTAATTACAAAAATGTTTTCCGTTCCTGTTAGGTAGCAACACATTTATTTTGTTTTGTGGAGTCTCACCTAGAGAGCCCAGGTCAGGAATTCTCCCTTCCTCCCCCCCGCTTTCCCTCCCCTGGGGGGTCTGTCGGTCTGTCCCCCTGAACCCGGCCTCTGCTCCCATCTCCTCCCCCAGCGCCCCTGGCAGCGCCACCTCACCTTGTTCCCCAAGTTCCTGGGCTGGAAAGCCAGCCCTCTGCTGGGCGGCTGAGAAAACTACATTACCCAGAAAGCACTGCGCCCACGTAGGGCGTTTTGGTTCCTGTGCGTATGGTTAGGGCGGGACTTCCGGATTCTTCTTCCCGGTGGACATTTTGACTTTTTCAAACTGTTCGCCGGCTCCCGGTTTCAGCACGTCCATCGGGAGGAGGAGGGGACGGGGAGGCAGCGCCCCGCGGGGCAGGGGTCTCTGAGGCTTGTTGACCCCCAAACGGCGGGATTTGAGTCTCCATGCCTCCCCGACTCCTCTCTGCTTCCAGAGTTCAACCGGCCTCACCTCATTTGCCCTCCTGCCTGGGGGGTGGGTGCCTGTCCCGCCTGCAGCCCAGGTCTCAGCACCCGAACAGTGAGTGGCTTGAGGGTGCCACGTGGTGTGACCGGGTGGGAGAGGGTGACAGGCTGAAAAGCCGTGTGAGGCGGTGGGGCTGTGACTGAGGAGGGAGGATGGGGGAACCCAGGTCTGTCATATCCCTAAAGGCAACAAAGAAGATGAAGCGAAGTTTTGTGTGAGGACTTTTCCTTTTGTTTTCAGGAAGCTGCTGCCATCCGTGGCTGTGAACCAAAGAGGGACCTAGTGTGAGTTAGGGTTCTAGCCTCTTCTCAAAACTGCTCAGAGGAAGAATAGACTACACGGGAGAGGCCAGCAGGAGGGCGGGAAGGAGGACCCTGTAGGTGATGAGGTCACTGGCAGGTGCGCACTGGACTGAGCCCCGAGGGCGGCGGGCATCACCCCCCCGGGGCGGGGCCAGGGCTCTGAGCAGCCCGAGCCCCTGGGTCCTGGGGTGGGTGCCCGGCCCTCAGCCCTTTAGTTCCCACCGGTTCCTGCGGGTGCAGAGCCGCTGAGGGGACGGGGCTGTGGGGCTCATGTCATGGCCTCACTCTCTGGTGGCCTCTGAGGTCGTGGGGTCCTGGGCTGTCCGCCCCTCTTCTCGGGGGACCTTGGACCTGGGGACCTTGAAGGGACACCAAGCCCAGAATCCTAAGTCCAGGTCAAGGGTCAGATGAGTGGCAGCTGGTTTTGGCAGCCAGTGGAATTGTGTGTGACAGGTCCTTCCGCGCATGGGCTCCAGAATGTGCAAAGGCTTGGAGTGCAGACTAAGCTGATTCAGGGACGAGCAGGGTCCATTTTTTAAAAATAGGAACTGGAAACAGTGGGACAGGAACCAAGTGCAGAGGAGCTTTGTGACCACTTGGGTTTCTGTTCTGCTGGTGATGGGGTCATTGGGGTCATGGGAGCAGTAGAGCAGGTGACCTGTCCCAGGTCTCATTAGACTCCCTGTGGCTGCAGCCTGATGCACAGGATGGGTGTGAGGACGGTGGTAGGAAGCCCAGGACGGAAGCTGCTGTGATAGTGCTGGTGAGTGTGAGGGTACCTGGAGCACAGTGGTGGTTGTGGGTGTGGAAGAAGCAGTTGCATATGCATCAGGGTTTTAGCTGTGGCCCCTGGATTTTGAGGATTGTAGAGAGAGGTAAGAATCAGAGATGATGTGAAGGTTGGATTTAGTACCTGAAGGTATGAAAGCACCATCAACTGAGATGGAGAAAGTCATAGTCGGAAAAGTAGTGTTCATGAGGAACATAAAATCTTTTACTTTTTCCTTTTAGTGTATGAGATATTTTAGAGACCAGTTCATGACCATCTGGGACTCTGAGGAGTTAGTTCAAGATGACGACTACTTAAAAAAATAGTAAAGAGTATGGACCATGGAGGAGTTGTGGATCACCTTTTTTTAAATTATTATTGGAGGTGGAAGAGTAATTCAAAGAAGGTGAGACTGTGGCTGGTGCATATTTACTTCTCAAACACTCACCAGCATTTCTTGTGACCATTTGTGTGGCCTGGTGAGTTGCATCCAGTTTGGTTGATTTGCTCATGGACAAGAGGGGACATCTGTGAGACTCACTGGCCATGAGGTAGAGGGCCATAGGCTGTGGGTGGAGAACGGACATCAAGTGCAGCAGCAGTAGAGGTGGGTTCTCGATAACTGAGATCTGATGTGGTTCTCAATAGGTGAGGCTGAAGGAAAAAACAAGTTGGGAGGGAGGCCTTCATAGCAGAACTGAAGGCTGTGCCTTCGATGTGGGCAATCAGAGTCAGGTTAATAGTTGATACTGTTTGAACTTGCCATGCAGTCTCTGGAACACACATGCTGAGTAATGACTAAGACCAGGGAGATGTCTATGGGAGCTGGGGCCACGGGACTGCACGTGTGAGAGAGGTGTGGGAGAAGGAGTGATGTGCTCTTGGAGAGGGAGTGTGAATTCATGGCCACAGATCCTTGATATTGACAAAGAAGTAATGAAGGTTGAGTCCATTTCTGGTGATAACTGAATGATAACTACATGGGCAATTTTAGGGTAATTCCTGAAAAGACGGGTGTCGTGATGCTATATGCCAGGTCCCGAATTTAGGTGTCATATAGGTACACACCTGCCTGTGGTTGTTGGGCTGATACAGTGATCAGTAGGAATGGGATAGCACACATCAGTGTCACCTGGGCTTGAATATCTCTACTGCCTTGTGGAAGGAAGAAGGATAAGAGGGAAATACATTACAGAGGAGGTGAGTTGGAATGTTGAAAAGAAGCTCAGTAGAAAATATCCCCTCCTCTCCATGGCCTGTATGTATTGTCTTTGAAGTTGTGACTCTGGGAATGAAGCAGTATGAGAGAAGTGGGATAGGAAGAATAATGTGGAACAGGTAGCACCAAGTGTTGACTTCAGCACCCTAGGACTGGAATCGAAAGGGCGACTAGTGATACCATGTTTTTCAGGGTCTTGGAGGGAGAATTTGTTGGACAAGAAGGATATTGCCCCACAAGACCAGTGTCAAATCACTCACATCTCTCTTTATGGCCAACATTTATCTGTACCCTGTGTTGGTGACACCCATTGTGTTGACCCTAAATTTGAGGCCCTGAGGACAGGTACAACCAATCTGGGCATTCTGCTCTATTGCTGTGGGAAGACACAATATCAGTAAGAATATGAGGAAAGAGTGACTTTGGTGGATGCAAGGTCTGCTATTTTCTTTTCTTTTTTTTTTTTTAAATTAAATCTTTATTGTTCAGATTATTACAGTGTTCCTCTTTTTTCTTCCAATAGCTCCCCTCTACCTGGTTCCCACCCCAACCTCTGCCCTTAACTCCCCCCCCCCCCCCACCTTCCTCATCCATAGGTGTACGATTTTTGTCCAGTCTCTTCCC